CTGTATTCATTATTTAAGACGTCAAAAGACAATTACCTAATTTAGTTTGCTCTTAAAAACAATCTCCTGAACTTATAGTTCTTTGGTATAATACAGGATTTATTTAAATTTCATGAATTTAATTTATGACCTATTAATTCTCATAATAATTCAAACTCTTTCATTCTTACTGAAATTAGGATTGTTAAGAATAGAACATAAGAAGGCAAGATTAAGCATATGGGCCTTTTAAATATCGTTACGTTACTTTAAAATAAAAAAAAATCGGAAGTCTCGTTTTGAGTCAAAGTCAAAATAATATTAGAGGAAAAAAACGTGTCGAAAGGCGCAAGTGGCTGGAAAAGATTCTCTTAAATACTCAACTCTTACGTCGCATTTTCGTAGAAGGAAACTTTGAATGTTGGTTTAGTTGGTTTATTCGATTATGGCAAACATTCGTGAGCTATCTGCCTAAAGGGAGGGATGCCGCCGTGGAGCACTTTCTAAGGGAAACTGGCTCGTAAACATGTCACACATAGAGAAAACAAAGAAAACGTCTAAACCTCGGATCAAATTATCAGTGTTCAGGGATATTATCTCTCGGCCGCTGACGAGCACCAGAAATTTTGAATGTCCATTGTGAAAATGTGTATTATCTGATTGACAAGTATGATTATGTATTGTATACAGCGCTTATTCCAGCTCTGTAGCATACGGACAAATTTTTAAAATAAAACACAACTGCTACTATAAATGTACAAGAGAAACGATTTTATTGTTTTCAAAACTGTAAAAGGCCATGCAGCCTGTATGTGTACTGGGAAGCCAACAATTTCAGATGATACATTTTACACCGAAATTCACTTTATTGCAACGAACTGGAAGAACTGGAATCCAGCTGCCAATGCTCTACATATTTGTTCATAACATAAAAATTACAGATATTATCGAACAGAAAAATTTTCTCTCCATTTCTAGAAATGTATTTTTTTAGTCCAAAGGGGCTTTGTTCCTCAAGGACTATTATTTTCGCTTTGCGATTTTGCATTGGCTCAGTATAATTGTCCGTTTCACTTTTTAAACTGTTGCCACCAAATGTTAGAGTCCTGCATTATATTTGAAGAAATTAAATAATGAAAACTCTGCATAATAATGAAAAAACATTTTTATCTCCAGCGCATGAAACTACCTATCGGAAATTCTAAAGGTATGCTCAGTTTAAAACTATTTTGCGATATTGCTCTTGAACTGAATTTTATGGTTTAAGTGCGAAGAACGTTATATTTAATAAATAAGGGTAACAAAATTTTTTTTAAAAAACGCCCCTTTGGACGTAATTTAAAATCGAAAACCTTTCAGATTTTTATTTTTATTTTTTTAAAGTTTTCTTACATTTTTTTTTTTTTTTCCCTTCAACTTCAATTTACTTAAAATACATTTTTTTCATTGCCATGATATTCTTCCTTCACTTCCCCAATTAATTTTTGCATATTGTCCGCTTAGTCTTTAATTTATTTCATTGCTATAGTTAGGTTTATCATTGAGTGCTTTTCTAAAGGTACTTCCTGAGGAGATTTAGTAATCACTACAGTCTTTTAAATTACACTGACCGACTTTGAAACCTGTATTTACGTCCGTCGTCATTTGAGTAATCCCTTATAATTTCGCTCCTAATCTGCAACAGAGTTAGTTGCCTTGCAACATCAATGAAATTGAAGCACATTTACATTTAATCTAGATGTGGAAACAAAACTTAAGAATGATTAGTATGTAATATAAGTTCATGCTAATCCCACACATTTGTTATCAGTCGTTAGATCAAGAAAGACATATAATGATAGTGTAAGAGACAGCAGTTTAAGAATCGATTTATTTTGCTTAGATTCACAAAAACCTTAAAACATAAAGTACGTTAAGAAAATATTTTAAAAAAGAAGGAATTGCAAGCCTTGAAGCTATTACTTCAAGAAAACTGGCGAATTCCACTACATCATCTCAGCTCTGACAGGTTGTCATTTTGTGGGATGATAGCTCTAAGAACTCAAACTTGTAAGTGTTAAATGTAATGTGCTGTAGGAAAAATATTAAAAAAATAAATAAATAAATAAATTGAAACTACACAAAAAAAATCTGTCAGTCATTGACTGAGTCTTGTGATTTTATATATTGACGGTATTAAATCTCAAGGATACTCATGATCCTAGACCGTAGTTTTCGGAAAACGTAATAAATAAGCAAACATTTTCAAAACCCGTGGATATCGAATACGAAGAGAAAGCAATCTAATGACATTTAAAATTAAGCAAAAAAGTAAGCAATTTGTTTTAGCCGATGAATAAATAAAAGTATCTTTATTTCGAAGGAGGTCAGACGTAGGCTTTCTTCTTCAGGAGCCAACAACAATTGCCTAAATTTTATATGAAAAGATGCCTAAAGAGTAAACGCTTTGAAGCCAGAGAAATAATTTCACTCGGATGAAATGTTACATTTACTTTTTATGAGTATCTTTTAATATTATATTAGGAACTTGTGTTTGCCTTTATGAATATAAACTCTTCCCAAACGATGGTTGATACAAAACAGAATTGCTTCTGTCATGTAATTTTCTAAATAATTACTTTTTTCAGTTTGCTTATTAATAGGTTTCGGTATCTAATTTATTACATACAAAAATTACTATGATTTATTTAATTAATCTTAATTTCTTTCCTACAATTCTGAAATTTGCAGCCTTCGAATCGTTTGTTTGACCGTATTATAAATAAATAATTAATATTCATAGGCAATGGTCTGCATTTGCAGTTCAACTGATAATGCATTTTGGACATCCATTTCCGATTAAATCTTCTTTAAAATAATGTATGGAGTTTTCATGAGTATTATTTCAATACTATGGACCAATCTGTAAATGCAAAATTAGACTATTTATATGATCCCTATAAAAGTTCAAATTAGTAAAATGCTCATTAAGCCTGAGAGGAAATAGTTTATATTTCAGTTCTTAAAATAAGTGAAAGATAAACTATTTCATATCTTACATGGAAAATCATCAAAGGCACTGTTAATTAACATTTTCTTGGTCCCGGGGCAAATATCATAGAAGTTTTTTAACCCAACATGAAATTTTGGATTGCCAAAGAAGAAGGCTTTTGCATTTTAGTTTCTTTTCTAAATCTGGTAGAAAAATATTACATTTCGATCCATAAGAAACAAAATGTCAATCATTTTGCACTGGAATATTGCTGCAAATTCTTCCTTTAACCGTATTCAAATATTCATACTCAAATTACACCCCAAGCGGTTAAAATCACCGACCTATAGTAGTTATAACCAGCGCGAACGACCTGGCTGTATGCGTGCTTTCGTTTGAATGGCCTGCCTATGCAACATGCGCAGGAGTCAGTTTCCCTTAGAAGTTCCTCCACAAAGACATCCCTCCCAATAGATAGCCATTATGTGCATTGCGTTATTAAAATAACCTAACTGATTTTATGATTTATTTCAGTAAAAACATTTAAGTTTCTACAGTTTTCTTTTGCACGCAAATTTGTCGTCGATTTCCTGTGATAAAAGGAAATATAATAAGGTGAAGTAAAAGAAGAATAAATAAATAAAATTAAATTGCAATTTAAAGACTTCAGATCATCATCTCTATCTCGAATAATTATTTTTTTTAATTAAAAATATCATACAAATACCTCGCTTCGCTTCCTTAATAGAAATAATATTTATTGCCAATTCTTAAGATTAAATCTTTATTACTGAATAACGTTTTGAACGTGAAATGGCCCGAATTGTAATTATGAAGCCTAGATAAGATGACATTTCCTGTCATTTACTTTCTAAAGCTGATGAGCAAAATACATCTATAGTGTTTAAGAAAAATAGAAGGTTTTATACAACTTCGATTGGTAAGAATGTAGTCTCACAGTTTTAATTCTTATTTGTAATGGAAATGATTATAAAGTTAACTGAAACCAACCCACTCTTTGAGATATTAGAGAAAATATTGTAAGAAACATTTCTTTTGATCCTTGAGCTCATAAATCATATATTTGGTAATTTATTTCACGAAACGTGTACATAAACTAATTAAAATAAACAATTCATTAAATTAGTTTATTTAAAATTCCTTTTGAAATTGACTATTCCTTTTAAGACATATTTAGATTTTAAAAAAAATTCGATCGTCTCCACCTCCCTCCGAGTAGAGAAAGCAACTGCATTTCGAAAACAAAATATTCAATCATAGCTTCAAAATTTCTTTGCATAAGTAAACTTATATTAAGGAATTAGAATAAAAATTGTAATTAAATATGGCCAGTTAAATACAAAAATCTTCCAAAAGCCTATTTAAAAATACCATATTCAGCATATTCTATTTAAAAGTAAGAATAGCGATAGACAATACATAACTTAAAAATGTAATAAAATTATTACAAGAGAAAAATTATTTTAGTCCTGCAGCTGAGGAAACCAAATTGAGACACTATCATTTGCTTGCTGTTAAATATTAAACACCGAGTTTAATATAAAAAATTTGAAATCTCTAAATATATAAATCAACTTATATTTTTCCTTGCTGTCGAAAGGTTTTGAAATGGTATTCCTTGTTGCGAGATTTTGTGATATTATTATTATTCAACTTATTCTGTTAAAATGCGCTTCATACCATGAATTACATTGATATATTTTTCAAATACCCCATCACGTTTCACTAAGAGTATTTAAAAGCAATAATGAAATTAAGGAAACCTAATATGAATTAAATGCAGCCTATATGCTTAAGTTAGAAGCAGAAGATAATTAAACTTATTTAAAAACAAAACTACTTTAAAAACATAGGGATGATCTTTATTAATAGAAGTCATGCACTTCCGCCTGACATACAAATTTGCAGTTTTTGAGAGTATTTAGAAACTGGCAGGCAAATGAGCTTAAAAAATTCTTTATAAACTTAGAGAAATGTGAACAATATAGGAAGGATGAAATGTATATGAAAACAAAGTTAAAGAACTTACCAACATTAAAATGTGCAACTTTGTTTTGAGCGACAGAGCTTAAGATTACCATTCCGGCAATAATTTGAGATAGCAGAGAAATTGAGGACCCAGGAGCTTTCCAGAGAATACTGACTTGAATTTTATAGTGAATGTAATACCAAAGTGTCAATATAAATAAAATGGCAAATATAAATGCTGTCCACCATAAAGATCTATAGGAGTAGTCCACTGCAAAAGAACTAAATCGTAATGGATTCAACACCTTCTCCAAAGCCATAGTTGACTTTTCGTGTGAGCTCTGGAGCCAAGAAAATCGTTCAGATTTATCTCCTCATCATGCGACTGAAGCACTCAAAATTCGGATGCTAACTTTCCTTTTCCGATGTCTACAAAATCGTTTAAGAAAGGCGCTACCCGCGTTCTAGAGGCACCTGATGGCGCGACGCATGCGCAGTTACTTTGAGCCCTCTTTCTCCATCTTTTCCATTGCTTTTATCTAAGCAGGAGGTGGTAGATTATTGCTTTGTGAGGTTTTTCCTTTCGGAATTAACAACTGTGACAAATCCGCTTTCAGTAAAAAAAAAATCAACAAAATGAACCAAATAAAAAGGAGTTCGAAACGAGTTTTGAAAATGTTAACAAAACAAAAATATATCAGTAATTATTATGAATACATCCATAGTTCTATGCCTCCAGATTGTTAAAGAAGGCACACATTGGTTAAAGCTAAATATTTAACAGCAGTTCGTTCTGCATCTGATTTCTTGAAAGAGAATGAAAAGACAGTTTCAAGAATCAAGAAAAACCTAGCAGGCAAATGATAAACAATAAAATGAAGTATTGAAGTTGACGAAAGCTGGTGTGTACAACTACGTACACAATTACCGCATGATGTAAATACTTTTATTGAATCATAGTTTAAATTTAATATGCTTTAATATAACTTTCAGACGCCTTTTTTGTAAAAAATTTAAAATATACATTTTGAGGAAAGAATAAAAATAAAAAATTCTCTTGATAAATAAAAGTTGATGATTTTCGGGAAATTAACATAGTTTATTTCACCTTTCATCATACCAATTTTTTACATTTCACTGAATTCTCTGTTTTTCAGGCTATCTAATGCATAGATAAGCACAGATAACTGGAAAACAGAGATAATACAAAATTACTACTAACTTATAGTTGAGCCGCAGATATTGTACGGTGTACCTACAATTAATAGTTTTAAATATTTTACTATACCTACAATTAAAATTAAGTTTATAGAAAAAATATTTTATAATCCTTTTGTTTATTTTAGTTCTCAATATTTATAACTGAATAATGTCACAATGAAATTATTTCAAAATATTATATTTTCGAGCTTCTCTGCTCTGAGGAATGTGTTCAGTAGGCTCTGGTGCTGTTACCGCTTCATCAGCCAGGCAAAATCGGAGATCGGATTTCTCCATAAATTAATTTTTCTATTTCATTCCAAATCTTAGCAACAAGACTCATTGCATCAACAAGCAAACGTTTTTTCACAGTATATCAAAAGTTTTTCATCTTCTCAGAGTACTGGTCTAAGAATGTTCAAATTATATGTAATCCATGCACTGATAGTTAATTGGAAGGTCAATGCATTTATTAAAACGAATTTATCATATCTTAATACTTAAAATTGGTATTTCATTCAAAATGCCTACTTAGATGCCTATATTTTGATAAATTCATGTTTTAATGCTTTACTCTTCAAAATATTATGTTTTATAAATCAGGTATTCAAACATAATTCCACTTAGAACTGCATCGTCAATCGGCAGCTAAGTAAATTGTTTCTTTTTTTTTTTTAAATTTAGGGTACAAACTAAAAATATTTAGTAATGTATCGAGTTATACTTGTCCATGCTGGTTGCTGATTTCCTCAATGAAACAATCTTATGCTGAGGAAAACAAAATCTTATATCATAACTGCAATTGCGTTTAGGAAAGTCCAGAAATAAAGATGAAATACATATAATTCCATTATCATTGGGTACATAATATTAAAAGGTTATATGAGATGAAAAGGAGTAGGTTTCGTAAATTCATTTCCGAAACAAAATCACATAGTACACGGCGAAGTCACTAATAACGCTGCAAGTATCAAATTCAAAATATATCAGCTCAAAATTTGCTCTAAAACTGCCACCTTTTCCACTGAGGTAAACAGCAAGCGCTTTGACTTCTTTCGTGTCTGCTCAGCCTAACTATTCTGTCTCACTCACTAGCAGAGGCGAAACTTATATATATGTGTGTGTGTTACTCACACCAATAATATTGATAATTCAGGCCAACCCAGGAATCTTTAGTTTTCACCAATTCCAGAATGTTGTACGGTAAATACAGAGTTGGTGTCTCCAGCAGTGTGTCAAAAGTAGCCCACATAAAAGCAACGAATAAACACGCCCTATTTCTGCTATTAAATACACTAAACAGGTTAATACTCGGTTAGGTTAAAAGTGCAAATCTTCTAAATTACCTGTAACAAATATATCAAAATAGCACTTTAACGTTTAACTTCAACGAGCATATTAATCCATTACCTTAAAAGCTGCAAAAGCAGCTTTTGTACACATTTCTTAAGCATAATTCCAAATTACTAAGTGGGAAATAGACGTGTAATTCATCTAAAATGATCATACTCATAATTTCATTTGCAACACCGCTACTGAATGCATTACATAACCAATAATCAAATTTTTAATCCTTCAACACAAACATACAGTAATAATGTGTTACTTCCGGTTATTTCTTTATTACAGTATATACACTTATTGCAATTCCATTAAAAGTGAATTCAAACAAACACTTATTTATAACTATCGCAAATTTTTGGCAAGCATGAATGGCTTCAATGATTAGTGAAGGCTGGCTACCATGCATTTGAGACTGAAGTTCTAACACCTGATAAGGTACCAATATTTATGATTTATGCAGAAATTTTCCGCAAAGGGCACTTAAAATGCTTTGACTCTTAAGTCCTGTAAAGAAGCTGGTACAAAAACAGGAGTGAGAGACCTCAGATACCATTTTCCTAGATTTTCTAGATCAGAATTTTTATGAAGTTGAAAAATTCCTTCTTTCAGTGCGGGTACCCAAATCTTTGGGAAATACTTAGTGATGCAAACTGAAAATATACAAATTATATCCATTTCAGGTATGGCGCTTACTATGAATACAAGATACACCAGAAAGAAAAAAAGGGAGGTTACTTCATTGTAGTTATCTTAAACTCCATAAATAGAAAATTTCATGTACAATAACATAAAAAAATTGCTGATGCTTTGTTCGCTAATATTTCGGTGTTTTGTGCTACATTTGTCACAAAATTGATAAAGTTTGATAGATTGCCTTTATAACAATTACACTCACCACTATTATATGCAGATATTTCACAAGCTATTTGTATGTAAACCATTTGTATGTAATTATAATAAAATAATCGCATAGAAAAAAAGCTTTAAATTTGTAAAAAAAAAATCTGGAATGCTTCAGATTTTAAATTACGTCCAAAGGGGCGTTTTCTTAATGTTTTGTGTGTTACCTTTATTTATTAAATATCATGCTCTTTGCACTTAAACCATAAAATTTAGTTCAATAGTAATGTCGCAAAATAATTTTAAAATAAGCTTATCTTTAGAATTTCCAATACACAGTTCGACGCGATGAAGATAAAAAGGTTTTTTCTCCCCCGTAGATTGTTGCCATTCCTTGCTTTTAAATCGTTGAGTTTGTTACTCAAAAGTTCGACTTGTTAAAGTTTTACAAAATATGAAATCGATAATAAAACAAATTCCAAATTTCAAATTTGGGATTTCAAATGCTCATTTTCGCAGTAGGATTACGGCATTCAAAATTGCATGGCTCTAGATACCGTTGTTTTATCACAATGTGAGAAATATGCATACATTTATGCAGATTTTTCATTGTTTAATTTCTTCAAATATAATGCAGGACTCTAACATTTTGTGGCAACAGTTTGAAAAGTGAACCGACATTTATAGGAGTCCGACGCAAAATGCCAAAACGAAAGTAATAGTCCTTCGGGACTCAGATCCCTTTGGACTAATAATAAATTTAAAATAACATCAAATACAAAAGAATATACACAAACGGCGGCATAAAATATTAAAAAATAGTCTGCAACGGATCTTTTAGAATATAAACAAATCTGTTAGATCGGGAAATAACTATAAAATTGTACACAAAATGCAAAACAATGTTTTGATTATTTTACAATAATTCATAAAGCTTATAATTAAAAACAATAGCGAGCGCATTAAAGCAGATAAATATTCGTTATTTTTTCGGTTTCATAGTACATAGGAGGAGTATTATGTTAGAAAGATCTCCATCAACATATAATCTCTCCAGGTAGATAATCATTGTGTACTTCACCATAATTAACATCTATAATCTCAGCCACATGATAACGCATAATTTTACCCGCTAAATCAAACGCTGTTATAAAGATATTACTTAACAGTAGTTTAAAGAAGGATGGAAATTTAGAATGAGAAGTAAAAAACTAATATTCAGTTGATTTTCGCTCTTTATAACAATTAGATTCATTGAATATGTTAATGCTGGAACTTTTGGAGATGGCAGTAAATTCAGTCTTCTCCGCAAATACACTAGTCTCATTACGCAACTAAAGCAATAAGGATACTATCGAAAAGTAGAAGTAATTATTTAAGTTGATAATAAATGTATGAAAGAGCTTGATCACTTTAAGCATTATATCTCATATAGTCAGCCATTGCCCTATTCATGCATGTTCAAGAAAGTTAAGGAATGAAGTAATAAACCAAAGATAGTATTCATGACTAGAAGACATTTTCACGAAAGGGGTATGTATGTGATGCTACATCCCTGATATAATTACCTATACAAAGAAAAATTCTGTTTCAAGAATAAACAAAACTTTTGCAAGTTTGAACATTTTCGTGGGAATTTTAAAAGTCTAGGAGAAGCTCCTTCGTTGTTATCTATAGATAATGACATAATCCGAATTAATTTCCAAAGAAACCAATAGATATTCTTATTACTATTAAAATCATAGCCAACCGTAACCGTATTAAAATCATAATGTCATTGCATAATTGTGAAACAAAATTCTGTGTGTTGTGTGAGGAAGTGTATCATTGGGAATGCCTAGAAAGGTGTTGGTGAAAAGAAATGGGATGAACAATGCGGAAAAGTACTTTTTCTAGCAGTTTGCAATAATCCAGCCGAAGATTCACCCAAATTGCCAAAGAGCCAGTTTGGCATTAACAGCGGTTACTTCATTCTAGTGTACTAGGGAAAATTTATCTATAAATGTTAATAAGCTTCTGAAAAGAAACATTGTAGAGACCCGTCATTGCCGAACTA